AGTACACTTCAACTGTGAGAGACGGAATCTAAAACAAAAATCCAGAAAATCACATTGTATGATTTGTAAGTAATTAATTTGCATTTTATTGCATGACATAAGTATTTGATACATCAGAAAAGCAGAACTTAATATTTAGTACAGAAACCTTTGTTTGCAATTACAGAGATCATACGTTTCCTGTAGGTCTTGACCAGGTTTGCACACACTGCAGCAGGGATTTTGGCCCACTCCTCCATACAGACCTTCTCCAGATCCTTCAGGTTTCGGGGCTGTCGCTAGGCAATACGGACTTTCAGCTCCCTCCAAAGATTTTCTATTGGGTTCAGGTCTGGAGACTGGCTAGGCCACTCCAGGACCTTGAGATGCTTCTTACGGAGCCACTCCTTAGTTGCCCTGGCTGTGTGTTTCGGGTCGTTGTCATGCTGGAAGACCCAGCCACGACCCATCTTCAATGCTCTTACTGAGGGAAGGAGGTTGTTGGCCAAGATCTCGCGATACATGGCCCCATCCATCCTCCCCTCAATACGGTGCAGTCGTCCTGTCCCCTTTGCAGAAAAGCATCCCCAAAGAATGATGTTTCCACCTCCATGCTTCACGGTTGGGATGGTGTTCTTGGGGTTGTACTCATCCTTCTTCTTCCTCCAAACACGGCGAGTGGAGTTTAGACCAAAAAGCTCTATTTTTGTCTCATCAGACCACATGACCTTCTCCCATTCCTCCTCTGGATCATCCAGATGGTCATTGGTAAACTTCAGACGGGCCTGGACATGCGCTGGCTTGAGCAGGGGGACCTTGCGTGCGCTGCAGGATTTTAATCCATGACGGCGTAGTGTGTTACTAATGGTTTTCTTTGAGACTGTGGTCCCAGCTCTCTTCAGGTCATTGACCAGGTCCTGCCGTGTAGTTCTGGGCTGATCCCCTCACCTTCCTCATGATCATTGACGAGGTGAGATCTTGCATGGAGCCCCAGACCAAGGGTGATTGACCGTCATCTTGAATTTCTTCCATTTTCTAATAATTGCGCCAACAGTTGTTGCCTTCTCACCAAGCTGCTTGCCTATTGTCCTGTAGCCCATCCCAGCCTTGTGCAGGTCTACAATTTTATCCCTGATGTCCTTACACAGCTCTCTGGTCTTGGCCATTGTGGAGAGGTTGGAGTCTGTTTGATTGAGTGTGTGGACAGGTGTCTTTTATACAGGTAACGAGTTCAAACAGGTGCAGTTAATACAGGTAATGAGTGGAGAACAGGAGGGCTTCTTAAAGAAAAACTAACAGGTCTGTGAGAGACGGAATTCTTACTGGTTGGTAGGTGATCAAATACTTATGTCATGCAATAAAATGCAAATTAATTAATTAAAAATCATACAATGTGAATTTCTGGATTTTTGTTTTAGATTCCGTCTCTCACAGTTGAAGTGTACCTATGATAAAAATTACAGACCTCTACATGCTTTGTAAGTAGGAAAACACTTGTTCTCCCCAAATGAAATACTTGTTCTCCCCACTGTATCCATAAATTGCAGCCCAAATCTGCAATAAATATAATAAAATGTAGCTCCGGTAATATGGGTTATATTTGAACGGTTTGGGCTAGAGCAGAGGTCGCCAACCTTTTCTTTCATAAGAGCTACTTCATACTAAACACTTTTTTTTATGAGCTACTCATATAGCCTGCATATTTTGTTATTGTGTAGGCCTAATTTGGCGAATAGAAACAAAGAACAGCACTGTCTGCATACATAATGTCATTGTGTTTTGGTTCTTAAAATCACACATTTATCATTATTTATTATTATTATTAAGATGAGAGAAAACTAAAGAGTTTTAGATTTGAACAAATCTGTAGCCTGCAGTTACAGGACTAGACTACTATAAATCATTTTTAAATTGTCATTCTGTTTAATAGTGGCCTTTTAAACAATAGTGGCCTATTTGACAACAAACCGTGAAGAAACAGAATAATCATGAAAAGTATGAGGAATAATCAAATTGTAGTCCCAGCAAGCACATTACTTGACCGTTCCGCTTTCCTCCAACATTTTTGGCGATGTTTTTTGTTTGTTGTTGAATTATTAACTTGACTCAGCAGCATACATATTTGATGCAACGAGGGTATAAATGACTTATTTGGTCGATAGCACTTAACAAGCCAAGCAGAGCTGTTTTATCGAGGTACAGATCTCCTGTGGTTTTTTCTTTTTGCGCATTGCCCAATACAGACAGAGTTTGGCTACGTTGTAACTGCGAAGCGGCTACTGTGCGCTCTCATATGGGGCTCAGCCAGGATTGTTACTTTTGTAACTGAATGAGAACATTTTAACAATGTGATTTAACCGATTAATGTTCGGAAAATATATGGCAAAAATGCAGAATGGTGTTGAATGCCTGTCAACAGCTTGGGGAGATTTTTTTCTCTCACAGATTTAGTTATGTAATATTAGGCCTACATAATATTTCTCAGTATCTACTTGCAAGCTACTGATTGACAGGCCGCGAGCTACCGGACATGCAACCTTTGCTAGCCTGATGGAAGGCTACGAGTCCGAGGCTGCGATACGACGAAGCCTAATCAGACGTGCCTGTGCTCATGGTTCTTACAGGCAAAGTGAAATGACAATGAATTTGCTTGTGGTGCAGGCCGCTCAAATGATATGCAGTGGTGTAAAGTAACTAAGTAAAAAATACTTTGAAGTACTACTTAAGTCGTTTTTGGGGGTATCTGTGCTTTACATTACTATTTATATTTTTTGACTACTTTTACTTTTACTTCACTACATTCCTAAAGAAAATAATGTACTTTTTACTCCCATACATTTTCCCTGACACCCAAAAGTATTCACACATCTATCAATATAATGCTTTATCATTCCTACTGCCTCTGATCTGGCAGACTCACTAAACACAAATACTGCGTTTGTAAATTATGTGTTGGCGTGTGTCCCTGGCTGTCCATAAATTAAAAAAGAAAGAGAATTGTGTCATCTGATTTGCTTAATATAAGGAATTTGATTGTATAGTATTTACTTTTACTTTGTACTTTTACTCAAGACAGTTGAGTACTTTTCCGACCACTGTACTTAAGTACATTTAAAACCCAAACTTTTAGACTTTTACTCAAGTATGAAAATGGAGTACTTTTTCCAACACTGATGGTATATATGTATGTACTCTAACAACACCCTGAGTGCATCGGACATGAAACAACGATACAAATGTAACAACAGCACATCAAAATAGATAAATAATGTTATTTTGCAGGTGCCTTTTGATATTAAACACCAATGCTTTCTAACTGCACTGAACCAAACCAAAAACTTTGAGGCGATGAGGGGGGTGCAAAATTAAATCTGTTATTTATTATATCATATATAAAAATGGACATATGTATTTTAATACAGACTAGCTCAAAACATTACTTATCATTGAAAATTACAAAATTACCCAAGGGATCATGATAATTTAAAAATAAAAATAAAGTGTGGGTGCTAAAACTACCCCTATTTTGAAAGTAGTGATGCAATGGCTCCATTTGCGTCATTGCTCGGGCGCCAATGATATGGACACCATACATCACACTGAATGGTCAGCAATTGGGATGTAGCTCAGTTGGTAGAGCATGGCATTTGCAACGCCAGGGTTGTGGGTTCGATTCCAGTATGAAAAAAATAATAAAAATAAATAAATGAAATGTATGTACTCACTACCTGTAAGTAGCTCTGGATAAGAGCGTCTGCTAAATGACTAAAATGTAAATGTATGTTTTATCATAGTAAATCTACATGATTTATTATTACCTTTTTATTACTTATATTTCCCATATACAAAAGATATAGATAACAAATTGTTTAATTATTACATTAACAATAAGTATCTCTCATGCCTTATATACATTTGCATGAATGCAATGGGGAAATTGAACTCTGGGAAAATAAGAGGTTGAAATATTTAGAGAGAGAGAGAGAGAGGGGAGATGGTGACATACCATTTGATGAGCACTCCCCCCCCCCCCTCCCTGTGCGCTTGACCTATTTTAAAGAGATGGAAGGAAGTGACTGATATACCATTACAGACAACAGCCATGAAACATCCCTTTGGGCCCATATTTGGCAAATGAGGACGTTCGCTTGTGAGAATGTATAGTCCAATGTAACATTTAACGTACAAATGTGCTTCCGAATAATAGTGAGACGTGCTTTTACCATGAAACTCGGACACAAACACAACATTTACTTTCATCCTTTAATATAAAAAAAAACATCATGCTAACTGCTATCCCCTTTACTGAAGTAAAATGACACCACAACATCCTCTGTTGCTCAATTGACTGCTCTGTCCTTAACACCAGCCACCAGTGACGATACTAATGGACATGCAAAAGTAGAAAACACATCAATGTAGCAAATAAGTTCAGTGAAAAGCAGAACATTAAAAGGCCAAGAACGACAGACCCAAAAAAAAAAAATCCCATTGAGATGAAAGGAAAATAAACCAGAAAAAGGAACTGAGTAAAGATGAAGTTAGAGAGAGGCATTTTGGTGTTTACTTCCGATGTGAGATAGAGGGAGAGAGTGAGACAGGGGTGTGTGTGTGTGTGTGTGTGTGTGTGTGTGTGTGTGTGTGTGTGTGTGTGTGTGTGTGTTTGTTTTTTCTCGAATGTGAAAAATCCACAGGTTCCCCCCAGCCTCCTTTTCATCCTCCTCCTCCTCCAACTTTCTGTTCCCTTGCCTTCCTCCACTCTGAGTGACATCACTGGAGTTTCCCTTTTAGCAGCTAGATGTATATAACAGCAACACTGAGAGAGTATCAGTCAATCAATCAGCAGGACAGTCACAACCTACTACCTTCCAAACACAGGCAACCCTCTAACACCAAACAGCTTAGCTACTGAAGTTATTCTAACTTGACAAAGTTGTATACCTATCGCAAAGAGCTCCCTCCCAGGCTTCTCTCGGACACTGCCTTGGATAAGGACTTTAACGGAAGGTTTCTGCTATACGATGGAAGGCGATTGCAGCAGAGTGTTGGTAGACATGGAGAGTGGCCCTGTGTACCCGTCAACCACCGTGACCCTGGTACGGGAGAAGCCAACACAGACACACCGGTGGAGGCTGAGCGGTGCCCTGCTGGCCATGGCTCTGTGTGTCTCAGCTGCACTTTTCATTACCTGGCATGCCAAGGTGAGAATATACATCCAATTTGATCTTATCGTTAATTACTAGTGTGCGCGACGGCTAGTTAAATCGATATGGAACTGGAATATTTTGATGTGCTAATATCAAGTGTATTTCCATCAGCAATTTGATAAAGAAAGTAGAACTTAGAAGTAGAACTTAGATCTTGGATTGAAAGTACTGTATATCTCTGTAGCTATGTTTACAGTCACTTTTAATTACATGTATTTACCTTGCATTTATTTCTGTATATCACTATATATATATATAAATATATATATATATAAATGTATCTATATCACTATATATCTATGTATCTATATATATGTATCCTCCATATATCTCAGTATATCTCATATATCTCCTGTTTAGCGTCAATATGAAACTCTTTATCTTCTCTTATCAGAAACAAGATCACGTCGAGGAATCTGATGGTGAGTTTCTTTCCCTTTTTTTTTCTGTCTAGCTCTACATGTTCTACTGCTGGTGCTATGGTGTTATAATATCGACCGTATTCTGCTACTCCCTTGACAAAGGCCGCATTCCAAATGGCGCCCTATTCCCTACATAGTGCACTACTTTTTGACCCGGAGCATTATCGGACCTGGTCAAAAGTAGTGCACTATATAGGGAATAGGGTGCAATTTGAGATGAAACCTAAGTGTGTCAAGATAAACTCTCGCAAGCTCTCGGAAGCTCTCACAGTAGTGCGGCATTATATGGAGTTAACATGAGAGGATTCATCCTCTGAGGAGTATGTCACACTTTCTAAATCTCTGTCTTCTTCCCTCTTCAGAACTTCAGCATACATTGAGACAACTCTCTGGAAACACGAAGGCTGCCATTCATTTAGAAGGTAAGATAACGCTATATACAGTAATGTATTCAATGTCTGCTTCCCAAATGGCACCCTAATCCCTATATAGTGCACTAGTTTTGATCAGGGCCCATGTAGGGGATAGGGTGCCATTTTGATAAGGGAAGGTTACCTGGAAGTTTACCTGATAGGATTTCCGTATTAGAGTCATTTAAACAGCACTGTAGAACTGGAATAAACTTGTCTGCATGGTGAATAATCTGGAAATATGCAATGTAAATGCAATGTAAATAAAAAGAACAAAGGATAACACATAAAAGTGTTAAATGCATTTATTTATTTCCAATGTGGTCCTTGGAAGAGATTCATTATTTCCCATGTTAACCTCTCTCTCTCTCTCTCTCCTCCCAGGTGAATACAACGACAGTGGAAAATACAAGAACACAGTGGAGTGGACAGACAAAGTGGGCCAGGGATTCTCACAGGGAGGCCTTGAACTCGACAACAACGAGATTGTGATCCCCCAGGATGGCCTATACTTTGTCTATAACCAGGCCTCTTTCCACGTCAGCTGCAAGGCCGACCCCAAGCACCCTAACGACCAAGAGATGGTTCACCTGAGTAACACCGTCAAGCGCTGGTCCCTAAGCTACGGCAGCGAAGACAACAAGAAGTACCAGACGCTGCTCAACTCTGTACGCACCGTGTGTAAGAAGTCTTCCAACAGCGAGGCTGCGAGTGAAGGAAAGTGGTATAATGCAGTGTATGTGGGAGCTGTGTTCCGTCTGGAGAGAGGAGACAGGCTCCAGACAGTCATAGAGAAAAGGCTTCTGCCCCATCTGGGGAGTGGTGATGGGAAGAACTTCTTTGGCGTGTTCGCCTTGTGAGACAGACAAAATGGCTGAAGATAGAGAGGAAGGTTACATCCCAAATGCCACCCTATTCCCTATACTTTACCTATTGGTGCACTATATAGGGAATAGGGTGCTATTTGGGATGCAACCACAGTGTGAAGGAAAGCTTCATACAGTTGGAGGGATTGGGCAGCTAAATCCATGAAGAATAAGAGGATAAGGGGAAGGTTACCTGATAGGAGTCAGGGCGTTTCATCTACTGAAGTTGACTGAGGTTAAGGCATTGTTGTTTTATGTTAAAGCCAACGCTTTATACTCTTCTGTCAAATATTAGGAGTTATAGCCTGGGTACTAGTCTGTTTTTGCCATCATGCTAATTCTTGCCACTCCTTTGCCATGGCAAACATTGGCTTGAATGACAGCATGACGTAGGTAAGAGCACAAGCAGATCTGGAACCTGGCTAGAGGAATTATACCAACTTATCTAAACTGTAGCAGTTTATATATACTTGGGTGTTTATTGTATAACAGATGTGTTACCATGGTGTTACCATGGCAATATATTTCTATGATGTTTAAAGTACTATGTGCTCAACTAGTGTTAACTCTCAGGACCTGATGCTGAGCTACCATCCACAGCACACAGACCAACCACACTGTATCCTACTATCTGAAGGAATTCTGACATACAGTATGATTACATGTTTTTAAGAATTTTGAATGTACTTCTACATCGGTCAAATTTCTCATATTGTGAAGTTAACATAGCTCTTAATTTATTCTGAATGAATTATTTATTTATATTTTATTAATATATTTATTATTATTATTATTATTATTATTATTATTATTATTATTATTATTATGTTTTAGTTATTATCCTTGTATTGGTGTCTGTATATATTGCTATTGAAATTACATTTGAAATTATTTATTTAATTTAATTGATATGAAGTGTCTAATACCTAATTGTTGTTATTTAATTGCATTTTATATTTCTACATTTTAAGAGTAATTTTATTGTATATATTTATTTATTTAACTACAGTACTGTTGTTGAGTGAATATCTCAATAAAATGCTAAAGAAAAATGACAAAACATTTATTGTATGTGAATCAGTTATGATCATTAATGAAAAGTTATTGCAACATTGACTTTACATCCCCTGATGATAGTCACTATCCAGAGAAAAAAGCGGTCAGATGACTGTAACCTAAGGGTCTTTAAGCTGAAATGGTTCTGAAAACAGCAACGGAAAAACCTTCATAACAATGAGTGGTTCATATCATTTTGCATCAGGCCCATAGTAGCTATTTCTATCAACAGGACTTCCTAAAAAAAAATAGTTATCTCCTTGCTATCATGGAATGATTTGCATTTCTATTGACCTAATCTCATTTGAATTAGCACACATTTGTAAAAGGCACCTCTACTAAAATAAACTCAGTGGCTGTTTCCATTGCAGTCGCTTGCGTTTCCTCAAGTAGTGTGTGTGTGGTGTGTTTCCTATGCCGTCAGGCGCATTTCCTCAACAGCAAATGTGGATAATCCCCCCCTCGTAATGGGGCCATGACTGCTGAGTGTCTGAGTGGGCAAGCAGTGTGAGATACTGGGCTGCTTCTTCGTCTGGCTCACAACTACTGCTCCCCCTCACACCTATGCTGCTGCTAAAATGGTTATTGATTAGATGTATTACTACCATTGCGCTGCTGTCCATTGATTATTGATTGCCATTACCGTTAGTATCTATCTATTTATCCTGCTACTGATCACTATGACTCCTGTTTACATGTACAGTGCATTCGGAAAGTATTCAGACCCCTTGACTCTTTCCACATTTTGTTATGTTACAGCCTTATTCTAAAATGGATTAAATAGTTTTTTCCCCTCATCAATCTACACACGATGTTTTTTTTTTTTTTTTTTTTTTTTTTTTTAGCAAATGTATAAAGAAAACAGGAAATATCACATTTACATAAGTATTCAGACCCTTTACTCAGTACTTTGTTGAAGCACCTTCAGCAGCAATTACAGCCTCGAGTCTTCTTGGGTATGACGCTACAAGCTTGGCAAACCTGTATTTGGGGAGTTTCTCCCATTCTTCTCTGCAGATCCTCTCATGCTCTGTCAGGTTGGATGGGGAGTGTCGCTGCACAGCTATTTTCAGGTCTCTCCAGAGATGTTTGAATGGGTTCAAGTCCGACTCTGGCTGGGCCACTCAAGGACATTCTGAGACTTGTCCCAAAGCCACTCCTGCGTTGTCTTGGCTGTATGCTTAGGGTCGTTGTCCTGTTGGAAGGTGAACCTTCGCCCCAGTCTGAGGTCCTGAGCGCTCTGGAGCAAGTTTTCATCAAGGTTCTCTCTGTACTTTGCTCCGTTCATCTTTCCCTTGATCCTGAATAGTCTCCCAGTTTCTGCCGCTGAAAAACATCCCCACAGCATGATGCTGCCACCACCATGCTTCACCGTAGGGATGGTGCCAGGTTTCCTCCACACGTGAAACTTGGCGTTCAGGCCAAAGAGTTCAGTCTTTGTTTCATCAGACCAGATAATCTTGTTTCTCATGGTCTGAGAGTCCTTTAGGTGCCTTTTGGCAAACTCCAAGCTGGCTGTTATGTTTTTTTGGTACTCTTCCCCAGATCTGTGCCTTGACACAATCCTGTCTCGGAGCTCTAAGAACAATTCCTTCGACCTCATGGCTTGGTTTTTGCTCTGACATGCACTGTCAGCTGTGAGACCTTATATAGACAGGTGTGTGCCTTTCCAAATCATGTCCGATCAATTCAATTTACCACAGGTGGACTCCAATCAAGTTGTAGAAACATCTCAAGGATGGTAAATGGAAACAGGACACACCTGAGCTCAATTTCGAGTCTCATAGCAAACAGTCTGAATACTTATGTAAATTTGTTTTTTCTGTTTTTTCTGTTTATTACATTTGCAAACATTTCTAAAAACCTGTTTTCGCTTTGTCATCATGGGGTATTGTGTGTAGATTGATAAGGAAAAAAAGTAATTTAATCCATTTTAGAATAAGGCTGTAACATAACAAAATGTGGAAAAAGGAAGGAGTATATATTAGTATATATTAGTATATATTAGTATATATTAGTATATATTAGTATATATTAATATATATCTATTTATCCTGCGACTGGTCACTATTACTCCTGTTTACATGTATATATTACCATTAGTATATTACCACTGACCCTGTATATATTACCATTAGTATATTACCACTGACCCTGTATATATTACCATTAGTATATTACCACTGACCCTGTATATATTACCATTAGTATATTACCCACTGACCCTGTATATATTACATTAGTATATTACCACTGACCCTGTATATATTACCATTAGTATATTACCACTGACCCTGTATATATTACCATTAGTATATTACCACTGACCCTGTATATATTACCATTAGTATATTACCACTGACCCTGTATATATTACCATTAGTATATTACCACTGACCCTGTATATAGCTTCCTCTCTGTGGTACTGAACACTGACCCTGTATAGAGCTTCCTCTCTGTGGTACTGAACCCTGACCCTGTATATAGCTTTCCCCTCTTGGTACTGACCAACTGACACCTGTATAGAGCTTCCCCTCTGTGTAACTGACACTGCCCCTGTAAAGAGCTCCCTCTCTGTGGTACTGACAACTGACCCTTAAGCTTCCCTCTCTGTGGTACTGAACACTGACCCTGTATATAGCTTCCCTCTCTGGTACTGAACCTGACCCTGTATTAGCTCCTCCTCCTGTGGTAACTGAACAACGACCCTGTATATACTTCCTCTCTGTGGTACGAACACTGACCCTGTAAATAGCTTCCTCTCTGTGGTACTTTAACCCTGACCCTGTATATAGCTCCTCTCTGTGGTACTGAACACTGACCCTGTATAGTAGCTCCTCTCTGTGTACTGAACACTGACCCTGTATAGAGCTTCCCCGCTGTGTTTCCGGAACACTGAACCCTGTTATAGTAGCTTCCTCTCTGTGGTTCTGAACACTGACCCTGTATATAGCCTCCCTCTCTGTGGTACTGAACACTGACCCTGTAATAGCTTCCTCTCTGTGGTACTGAACACTGACCCTGGATATACTTCCTCTCTGTGTGACTGAACACTGACCCTATAGAGCTTCCTCTCTGTGGTAACTTAACACTGAGCCCTGTATATAAGCTTCCCTCTGTGTCACGAACCTACCCTGTTAATAGCCTCCTCTCTTATTTCCTGTGTTAAATAACAAATGAGTTGTACTATTTTGATATTGAACACTGCACTGTTGGGTAGGGCCTGCAGGTTAAGAATTTTACTGTACGGTGTCAAAGTGCCTAATAAAACTAGAAACTACTTTTTACCAGAGCCATATGGGTTCCTATGGGCCTTGGTCAAAAGTAGTGCACATTAGGGATTTTGGTGCCATTTGGGACGCACACTATGAATGGAAAATGAAGAGCCCCTTGGAATCCAGCACAGCCAATCCAGGCAGAGCCCCCCTTGGAATCCAGCAAGTCCCTTGGGAATCCAGGCAGAGTCCCCTGGTGAATCCAAGCAGAGTCCCTGGTGAATCCAGCAAGCCCCCGGTGAATCCAGGCAGAGCCCCTGGTGAATCCAGCAGAGCCCCTGGTGAATCCAAGCAGAGCCCCTGGTGATCCAGGCAGAGCCCCTGGTGAATCCAGGCAGAGCCCCTGGTGAATCCAGGCAGAGCCCCTGGTGAATCCAGGCAGAGCCCCTGGTGAATCCAGGCAGAGCCCCTGGTGAATCCAGGCAGAGCCCCTGGTGAATCCAAGCAGAGCCCCTGGTGAATCCAGGCAGAGCCCCTGGTGAATCCAGGCAGAGCCCCTGGTGAATCCAGCAGAGCCCCTGGTGAATCCAGGCAGAGCCCCTGGTGAATCCAAGCAGAGCCCCTGGTGAATCCAGGCAGAGCCCCTGGTGAATCCAGGCAGAGCCTCTGACTCAGAGCCAATCTTCATTAGAAGGAAGGAGTGATAGACGGAAGGAGGAGTGGAAGAGAGGAAGTAGTACAGGTAAGAAGATAAGGCTATCAAGACGCCATCTAGTGGTGATATTATTGATCTGTGTGTGTTTGTGTGTGTTTGTTTGTTTGTGTGTGTGTGTGTGGGGGGGGGGGGGGGTTAGGGAATCAATTGTATGTCCCCACAAGGATAGCAAAATGTGTGTGTGTGACTGTGTGTGTGTGTCTGTGTGTGTGTGTGTCTGTTTGTGTGTGTTTTTTATGTGTGTGTGT